CCATGTCTTGGTGAGCAGCGGGATCTTGGCTGCAGTTCAGCTGGGTAGGAAGTGCCCTTTGGCTTCTGCAGCAGAGCTCACTTTCTGTACACCACCCACTCACAGGCCCATGGGACCTGTCTATCTGTCCTTGGGCTGTCTCCCTGTGCCCGGGATGTGGCAGCAGTGGCCAGCATCCTGAGCCCCTACCCTCTGTGAGGCTACCGCGTCCTGGCTGCTGGGTCCTCCTCTCACCCTCCCATCCCAAAACTGAAGTTTGAGAAGCTTTGTCAGCCCCTCCCAGCTTTTGCCTACATTGCATGCCTGCCTCCCCTTTCACCCTCTCAGCTGAGTCTGCAAATGTTCCTGCTACTTAGGCTTTTGTAAAACAAACACCAGGAACACAGGGAACTCGGTTTTTCCTGGGGCTGGGGCTGCCAAGAACGCACCCTGAGATGCTGGGGGAGGAAATGCCCATCTCAAAACCTGCGCAACCCTGTCCAGACCTGCACGTGTTCAGGGGGTGCAAGCTGACACTGACATCCGAAGTGAGCATGGGCTTAGAGAGAAAGCCCCCCAGAAATGTGCTCTTTTCTCACAGGGTGCAGGTGACACCTGCTCGGACACATCGGTTTGTGGACACATTGGCTCGTAGGCATGTCTCACCCCAGACCGCTGAAACAGCGGAGACACTTCAGTGATACAATGATCTCCCTTTAATAATCTTTAAATTTGAAATAGTGACGCTCCCCTTCCCCCCCCCCTTTTTTTTTTTTTTTTTTTTTTTTGAGATGGAGTCTTGCTCTGTCTCCCAGGCTGGAGTACACTGCCACAATCTCGACTCACTGCACCCTCTGTCTCCCAGGTTCAAGCCATTCTCCTGCTTCAAGCTCCCGAGCAGCTGTGACTACTGGTGCGTGCCACCACGCCCAGCCAATTTTTTGTGTTTTTAGTAGAGATGGGTTTTCACCATGTTAGCCAGGATGGTCTCGCTCTCCTGACCTCGTGATCCGCCTGCCTTGGCCTCCCAAAGTGCTGCGATTACAGGTGTGAGCCACCGCGCCTGCCAGTGATGTCCTTTTTTTGTAATCTTTCACATAGACAACAGCTACATGTATCCTTGTTCAATTATTTCCTCACAGCCCCTTGTACCTCCCCTTGCCTCTAGTTCTTGGGTCTGTTTCTCTGGACCACACTTCATCTTATTCATAGATCATTGAATAATCTGGTTAGATTGTGAAAGGAAAGACTCCAGTTACACGTGTACCCATGGAAAGAGAGCCACAGCCTCATCCCCTCCCTCGAGAGCACCCCCAGCCCTGGGTTCTCAGGACTTCATTTCACAGCCCTCTGGTCACTGACCATGCTGGGCAGCCTCAGTTTCCTGCCCCTGCCATTTGGGCCCTCTTTCCTCAGTGACATTATACCCGGTGGCTTCAGACTTTCTTGACTACCTCAGTGAGAAGCTACTTTATGCATCATCAGCATACATAAACACACACAAGTGGGAAGTAGGTGTAAAATGGAACCAAAGTCTTCATGAGACGGTGCACCCTCACCATCTATTCTGTTCCACTTCCCTTTCTAATGGCAGTCATAATCTTCCAAATTGAATTTGCTCTCCACTGATAGGTTGCTGTTTGAGAAACAAGCCTCTAAACCATCCTTCAAGGGATCACAGCACAGCAACCACTCCCAACTCTGTTCCTTGGGCCCCTCCTCTGCGTGCCATTATTCTCACTGCCTGGATTCACTCAGTCAGTCAATCAACAAACATGTAATGAGGGACAACTGTGCAGATCCATGCTCTTCATGACAGGGTTCCAGGCCAGCAGCAACAGCAATGCCTGGTTGTCCATTGTGTGCCTAGGGTCCCTCACATGGGAAACTTGCTTGCAGTGGCAGATGCCCTGAGGCTCATGTCTGACCCATGTCCAGGATTCGCCAGCCTGACCATTGCCCTGGGGCTGTGAGCCCACTCTTGTGTTCCTCTCGCCCACTGGGAACCAGGGAAACAGCCTGGGCAACCCCTAGTTCTTCTAGTGGAAGGTGCAAATTCAACTCAGCCCCCACACATGCAGAGCTGCACACACACCACACACACACCTACATGTCTGCATCTGCATACATACACCTACCAAGACTCACACACGGGACATTATACCTGGACACATGCCTACATACCTGCACACACCCATGTACACACACCTACACCCCCCATCTACACACACCTGTGCACACCCACGCACACAACCCCACCCACATGAGGGACATTACACCTGCACACACACCTATATACCTGGACACACCTTTGCAAACACACTTGCACACACCCACGCATGCAAACACCTATGCATGTGCACCTACACATACACCCCTCCACACATCTGCACACACATATCCCACACACCTTTGCACACATGCCCATCTGTAGACGCACACCTACACACATCTGCACACACCCACCTGTGCACACACGTCCACCCATGCACACCTGCACACCTGTACACACACCTGCACACACCTACACACACACCTGTGCACACATGCCCATCTGTAGACACACCTACACACATCTGCATACACCCACCTGTGCACACACGTCCACTCATGCACACCTGCATACCTGTACACACACCTGCACACACCTACACACCTGTACACATACATCTGTACATACACCTGCACATACACACACCTGTGTAGGTGGAGGACCAGTGCTTTTGTTTCCTGGAGAGCTCCCTTCCTTAGGCCCCTCCAAGCTGACCAGCTGCTCTCTACCCAGGTGGGCAGCTCTTGTCCCAGAACTCTCCTTGGAATCCCCTCAGGGTGGTGCTGTGTGTGCTGGACCCCAGGTCATCTGTCTTGGTTTTGAAACATTTTCCACAGCAGCTTCCAGAGGAGGGGCTTGTGACTCTGAAGACATCTTTATTATGCTCTTCATGGCTCATTCTCCAGGTATCGGATCCTAGGTGGAATTCATTTTCCTTGGGAATCTCAACAGCTTCACTCTACTGCTTTCGTGTTGTTGAGAAGCCCAAGGCCTTTTTATCTCTGTCCCTTTGCCTGAGAGCTGATTTTGTTTCTTTCTGAAAGCTATTTAGAACTTTATTCAGTGTTCTGAAATTTTGTGATGATGTGGTTTGTAAGGGACTTCTTTCATTTACTGTGTGGGTGGGTATCTGTGGCGCCCATATGACCGAGACAAAGAAATGGAAAATGGCAGGGAAAATGTAAGAAAATTAGAGGATCAAACCAGGCTGTCCAAAAGAGGGTCCAGAAAAAGAGAACCAAAGACACCAGGGACCGAGCTGCCACAAGCAACCTGGGAAAGTCCCCAGGTCTTAGGAGCATTGGCCAAGCTCCTAGGTTCCACTGTCTCGTCCATCTCTCCCAAGTGTTTTTATTTTGGTAATCCTTTTTTTTTTTGTTTTCATTTCAAAGAGATTTTTTCTTGATTATTTATTTTTCATGGTATTCTGTTTTTATTTTATGGATATACTGTCTTTTCATACATCCCTGACAGTGTATTAATGATAAGTTTTTATTTTATTTATCATTTTTTCTTGGAGACAGACTCTCGTTTTGTTGCCCAGACTGGACACAACTTACTTCAAAATGCTTTAATTTATACTACTGCAATCCGTAATTTATATGTGCAATACATAATTATACCTGGCATTTTTACCTTCTCTATCTCAAGTATTTTGATCAAATTGTTAGGCTCTTAAAGCTGACACTTATAGGAAAACCCTGGCTTAAAGTACTTGCTATGTTGTACACAATAAATATGTTGAATTTTATCTGTCAATTAAAAAAATTCATGCAATTGAAAAAGCCTAATAAGGTACCTGCTACGGTTCAAATGCTTCTGTCCCTTCGATGTGCAGTGCAAGCGTTGGGAGGTGAGGCCTGAAGGGAGGTGTTTAGGTCAATCTGCCCTTGTGAATCAGTGCTGCCACACAAAGGGGCCCAGGGAGTGGGTTCGCTCTCCTGGTCTTCCACCATGTTAGCACCCAGCATTCCAGGCGCCATCCTGGAAGCAGAGAGCGGGCCTGACCTGCCAGCACCTCCATCTTGTTGTCCCCAGACTTCAGAATTTCAAGAAATAAGTTTGTTTTCTTTACAAATGACCCAGTTTCAGGCATTCTATTACAGCAGCACAAAACAGATGGGCACGATGCCCTTTAGGGAAGCCCTTGTGAGGCTCAGATCCTCACCTGTGTGGTTTTCTAAAATGGGGCACATAATCACCAAAATAGACGTTTAAATATCAAAAGTTATAACTTATCAATTAACACTGCATTAATTTGGTGTGTTGGAGAATAGCATGTTAATCTAGAAATCATCTTAGTAAAAAAAAATTGGCTGAAATTTCATGTAAAGATTTACTCAACACAAAAAATTAATAAAAAGATTTTAATAAATTTCAATTAATTATACCCTGATCATAAATTATCTTTATTAAAGAATACATATTCTTGCAATTTAAAACCAAATATTTTAAGTGACATAACTAATAGAAATTGACATGAAATTATTTCATTTAAAATAGTTACAATAAAAGGCAAACGGACATCCATATTTGCCTCATTTTAGAAAACATAGGCTTTAAGAATCAAAAGTAAGCTTCCAAGCTCACTGCTAGGATTACAACTTCACATTACAGAAATGTTTAATAACAAATATTTGACCAATAGATTATAATTCTGAAGTTGTACATTTTTTTTTTGTTTGTTTGAGACGGTGTCTTGCTCTGTCGCCCAGGCTGGAGTGCAGTGGTGCGAACTCAGCTCACTGCAAGCTCCGCCTCCCGGGTTCACACCATTCTCCTGCCTCAGCCTCCGGAGTAGCTGGGACTACAGGCGCCCGCCACCATGCCTGACTAATTTTTGTATTTTTAGTAGAGACAGGGTTTCACCATGTTAGCCAGGATGGTCTCGATCTCCTGACCTCGTGATTCACCCGCCTCGGCCTCCCAAAGTGCTGGGATTACAGGCGTGAGCCACCACGCCCAGCCAGAAGTTGCACATTTTTAAATGCCTTTTAATTTTGCTTCTTTACTAAAAAAACTATGAACTGATGAACTCACCATAGAAAATTAATAATAATTAATTTCAGGGAAAAAAAAGGCACATCCAGGCAACACATTCAAGGCGACTGGTAAAATGCAGCGTCCCGGGTCTACTGCACATAATCAACTGACTGCAAATAAACTACTCTGGAAAATTCTAAAATGGGACAGGAATATTCTGTAAAAGCCAGGATAACACGACTGCACCGACACTTTGCTAGAGAGCTGTTCTGTTGCCAAGGTGCGAGCTTCCCAGAAGGAGCAGCTGCTGGCCATTTAAGCGCACACTCCCCACAGATGCTTCCCTTCCAAGGTCCATCATCTCCGTGCATCAGAGGCTGGACCGTCTCTCTGGTCTGGGCACACACCTCGTGATTGCAGCTCTCCACAGCACCGGGGCGAGTAAGAGGCTGAGCGTGGTCACACTCAGTATAAGGAGGTACACCTGCAACAGCAAAGTGCAGAGTAGGTCACAGACACTGTCAGGACTTGCACCTGCAATAGGAAAGCACAGGACTAGTCTCACTGAGCTCGGAGGGACGCCTGCAAAGCTAGAGTCCTGAGGCTGAGCGCAGTCACGCTGAGTGCTGGGAGGGATGACTGCACGGGTGGGTGGGGGGTGGAAGCTGAGCGCGGTCACGCTGAGTGCTGGGAGGGATGCCTGCACATCATAAATTCACTACTATCTCTTTAAAGCACATCGAAGTACAGCCAGAAGTTGAGGACACTGGGATGCAGGAGGGGCTGTGATTTGAAGATCAATGATGCATGGTTAGTCCTGATGGGCCACAGGGTAACAGCTTTAGCCTGTGTTTGCCTGAAGGCCAACCCCGGGCCGCAGTACAAGTGAGCCTGCCCCACACCTTCCCTGACCCCGGGGATGCGGACTTGGGTCAGGCCTCAGGTGGAGCTTCCTGTAAGCAATTCTATTTTTCAGCAATTACTTCCACTGCACTTAACACCTGGACTTCTACCCGCCTCACCCTTACAAAATGCAAGGAGACAAGCCCGTGAATCTGAATGCCCAAGGCCATCCCAGTGTCCACAGGAACTTCCACCCAGCTCTCAGGGCACTCTGGTATTTCAGTTTCTTGGGTGCTACTTATGTGCACACTGGCAGTTAAGCTTTAAAAAGTCAGTTTTCTTTCAGAAGAAATATCTGACTACAATTAGAATTGTTGTAAAAAGTTAATGCAACAGTTCAAGTAGTACTAACTGCACCTTTCCTCTGAAAACGTCACATGCTGGATGAGCAGAGAGCAGCCAGGCCTCTGTGTGCCCACCTGGAGGAAGACCCTGCCCCCAGGCTGCCAGCCACCTTCGCCACACCTGCCTCAAACCCAGAGTGCAGCCCGTGCTGCCCAAGAAGCGCTTCGCGGGGGAAACCACTCACCTCCCGAGAGATGACGCCCGCTCTTCGTGCCCGGCTCCCCAGGACAAAGGAAAACTCGCTGACCTGGGCAAGCCCTGCGGAGACGATCCACTTGATGTATTGGCTGCTCCTCGGCAGAATGAGAGACAGGACCAGCACCGCCAGGAGAAACTGCAAGAGAAGTTCATCACGCCACCGCTGAAGACCGGACCCGCACAGAGTTAAACACACACGAAAGAGAGAACCCAGACAAACCACAGGGACGCTACGATGGTCCCCGAATAACACACCAACCAGGGAAATGCACAGAAGCACTCCAAATACCCGAAGGCACCAGACACACACAAAACATCTTAAATAATCCACACAGAACAAAAAGGCAACATTAAGGGTTTAGGTTCATTAGCAGAAAATAAGCCTTGCCCGTGCCCCCCGGCCCCCGCCCCCCTGCCCTCGCCCCAACCAAACTAGATTAATAGCATTAAGCATGGGGTACTCAAGTTGGAAATTTCTTTTTCATACAGAGAGATGCATGTCTCTGGGCTGAGCAGCTAAAAGCTGGTGGAGTGGCCCAGCGATCATCATAGATTCTGGCTCCTTAAAATGGAAATTATCTAAGTCACTGTTTATGAGGCAGAAAACCACTGGTTGCTGACTACGTCACCACACCTTCAGTTCAATGTGGACACAGGCAGCTCGTGACTGGCAGTCATGCAGGACAGACAAAGTGCCTACACCATTCTCAGGTCTTTAAAAAGCACATCTGCATCTGTCAGAAGAGGACAGGTCGGACTGCGGCCAAGGCCCGTCCTGAGGGTCCCAAAAGGTAGTTCCCCCTTTTAAACACCCTCAATTCCGAAACAATCGATCACATGGACAAACCCAGACCACCCAGCCTAATCTACATCTGCCTCCCCCGGGGTCCAGTGGCCCTCCTCCGAGACAAGGGACAGGGCCAGCTCTGCAGGCTTGATGTGGGCCCCGCTGGAAACCAGGGCCACAGGGAGGGCTGTGCTGGGCCTGCAAACTGCGAGGGGCGCGGACCCTTCCAGCCCATACCTTCATGACCACCACTGACAAGGTGAGGAACACCAGCACCGTGAGCTCGTACACCACAAATGTGGGGAACACGTGGAGCCCTGTTGGGAACAGGACAGACATGTTACAACCACAGGACAGCCTCCCCCAGTGCACACCATTTCTCACAACTTCAGTGTGTCACTTGCTTCAATACAGGAATTGAAATCCTAAATCCTCCCAAGCACACTTGTCAAAGCAGCAGCAAATGCTAAACAGCCGTCCCTTTCCTGAGTGAACCGGGGAAAAGGCTGCCCCAGGGTGACCTGTCTGATGTGGTGGGATCCCAGCTCCACTCCCTGCAACGGGCCTCAACTGCAGAGAACACAGCAAAACACACAGAGGCAGCACTCGGTCTGGCGCTCCTTCAGGAAATATTCCAGCTGAGGTGCAGATGATCCCGGAGCCCAGCAGCCCCACAGTGCCCAGGAGTGCCACGCTCACAGGACGTCTGTGGTCAGTGTTCCTTTCCCTGCTTTATTTGGCTCACACACTTTGAAAAACAATGGGAAACACTGTCTCTACGTATTTCTTCTCTCTGCTCTCAGGGCTGTCTGAAACCGTGTGGCTGCCCACTGGGCTGTCCCGCTGAGTGACGCAGACGGGGTCGGTGGTGCTGGGGCTGGGCTCAGCTCTCCAGTCACACCCTGGGGCTGCCCGGTGATGCACGTCTGCCCTCGGAGGAACCCGGCAGCCCAGAGGCCTCCTCTTCATTGGAGGGACCCAGACCCCAGGGTTAAGTGCATGGAACAGACCCATGACCTTTCTGCCGTTCACAAACCACTGTCTCTACCTGACCCAGAAACACAAATGTAAACATTTGCCTTTTTCCTCTTGCCCCGACCGAGGTTCTCTTGCGCTTGAGGGCTGCCTTCCCCAGCCGCCCAGCCTTCTAGCCATGGCCCCTCCTCCTGGGTCTGGGTCTCAGAGCTGCCCCCTCCATGCCCATTCTCAGTGCGCCCCATGGCCCCTCCTACCCTGGCCACGAGTCTGGCCCCACCGTGTCCCCTTCATCAGCCCGAGCCCCATGACGGCCTGGGGTCCACCTCCCTCTTGCCCCAGCTGTCAGCCAAGCCCTGGCCCTAGTCCTGTATCCCCCCAGGATGTCTGTGCCTCTGTCCTGCTGCAATGCCCGGTCCAGGTCACCTGTGGCCACATCGGTGTCTAGGAAGTCACTACCGTCACAGCCCCACGTCCACGCCACATGATTGAGACAAGCTCACAACAGTGTGTGCCACAGGGGATGCTCCCACCCCTCCCCAAAGGAGGCCTCACATCACAGCCACACAGGTACCGAGGGCTCCCTACCTTGGGCGTACCAGACTATGTCTTCTCCCTGCTGCTGCCCCGAGGAAAGCCTCGCCTTCATCTCCAGCCCGGCTGGCTTCCTTCCTGCTTGGGAATGTCCTGTTCCAGAGACTCCAGGCTTCCTTCCCACCTCCTACCTCTGGACTCTTCCACGAGCCTCTCTTCCTCCCCAGCACGCCCTGAGCCTCCACCTCTGCACCTGGCGCATCCCTCACCCCGGCCAGTCACAGATGACCTGGAGGCTCCTGTGCTCTCAGCTCAGCTGGGCGGCTGTTTCCCTGTATCTGCCCCCGCCCCACCCTGGGCTGCAAGCTCCTTTGAGGCAGGGCTGCCCTGGGGACATGGCTCACTCACCCCTGCCTGAGCTCAGAGCTCCTAGCCCACGGTCGGAGGGGGAGTGGGAGGCAGTGAGTCAATAATTATGGAGCTGAATGCATTCCAGTCAGTCCCCAAAACAGCAATGAAAGTGAGAGACAGGAAACCTCCCTTCACTTTCTTTAATGAGCTATGCTGACTTTTCTATGTAGGGTCATTTATTCTCAAAACAAATATCAAACCTATACTTGGTGTAGCATAATGAGAAACTGTGTGGGCTCTGGGCTCAAGTCCTGGGTTCCCAGAGCCCACCAGCCCCGTAGCGCCCAGAAGCACCACAGTCACTAGCTGGACCCAGATCGATGTTTCAATCTGTGTGTGCCTCAGTTTCCTCATCTGTGAATGTGGATTTGGAGGCGAAGTAAATGAATATGCCATCTGAGGTGTGTGCCCGGCCCAGGGCTGTGCTAAGGATGCTGCCTGCACAGGCACCAGGCCACGGTAGGAAGGTGAGCGAGGCTGGCGGGGGTGCACACCTGCGTCCACCAGGGAGAGATGCCCAACGGCAAGGCAGCTCCCAGCACTGTCCCAGAGCCAGTGGTGCCTGCTTCTGAATGCGGGAAACATGAGGAGAAGAGGATGAAATCCTTGCTGAAAATTTCACAAGGCACACCAAATGACTGACATTGTCGGTAAAGCTGGAAGTGATTAGGAATGAGGGCGCTGGGCAGGCGTCTTCCACAAAGGCCAAGATGGAAAACCTGCTGTGGACTGAGTGTCCTGCAAACTCCTATGTTCAGGCTCCAGCCCCAGTGTGGCTGTATCTGGAGACAGGGTCTGCAGGAGCTACTCAAGGCAAAATGAGGCCACAAGCGTGAAAACCTAATCTCTCTGCGCAGGCCATGGCAGCTGAGCCACAGATGACACAGCACGGAGGCAGCATCTGTGGAGCAGGCACGGCCCTCGCCAGACACCTGGCTCTTGGACTTCCAGCCCCCACAACTGTGAGAGATAAGCATCTACTATTTGAGCCGCCCAGTCTGGAGGATTTTGTTGATGGCCCGAGATAAATAAGCAGCACAACAGCGGCCACTGATAAAGAGTAAATGAGCAAGCGTGACTGTTTCCATAAAGCTGCATTTATAAAGGCAGGTGGTGAGCAGGCCTTGGGCCGCAGCTGGCCGAACCCTCATCTAGTGGGAAGAGCACCTGCTCTGAAACCTGGGCCAGGGCCACGCTGCCACACGCCGTCCACAAGACCCCGACCTTGCTCTGTGGCGCCTCCTGGACCATCCTTCAGCACAGAAGCCCTTCCTCGCTCGGGGCCTAAAGATTGCCCTTCTCCTTTCATACCCTCCAGATGCAGCCTCAACTCAGCAGCACAGCCTGGGCCTCACCCGGCAGGCACGAGCCTCAGGGCTGGAACCCGAGAGCTACGCCTGCTGGCCTGCAAGTGGCTGTGGCTGACCTGCAAGTGGCTGTGGCTGGCCTGCAGCAGAGTCTCTAAGGCTGCACAGGGCAGGCAGCCCGGACACATCTGCTGGAGCCGGGAGTTCCACCCGGGCTTCTGCCGCCCTGAAGTGGACATCAGGGCCCACGCACAGAGGCAAAGCTGCCATCTGAAGCGGGCAGATGCCGTCTATGTGCTGCCTGGACTCTAGAACAAAAATAAGGTCCTGGCCGAGTTAAGAGAAAAAAATGAGCTATAAACAAGTTTCTGAGACGTCAGAAAAATTAACTTGAATTCCCTGATATACTTAGTACAAAAAACTAGAGCACAAACACGTAGAATTATGTGAATTGAAAGGGTTCTCAATACAAAAGAACTCTAGTTTGAAGATAATTGCAAGTATGTCTGCGTAAATAACATATTTATGAAATTTTAAGATTTTTAACAAGAGCAGCTCTCAAACATGCATGTGCAACAAAGTCCTGGCTGACAAGACACCGGGTCATGGCCAGGGCAGCCTGGGGCTGGGGCAACATGGGAAAAATCAGGTCAGACCTGATCCATGTTATTAGTCCTCATCTAAAAGAAGTGAAAGGAAGATCAGGAAATCAGTTTATTTAGCTTCCTGAGGAGGCGTCACCAGGAGTGAGGGCAGGGGGCAGGGGGAGGAAGCGGGGG